CTGAAGAGCTGAGGGACAGCGCCCAGGCCCAGAGTTCAGGCCCCACGACCGGACCCCCCAAAAAAAAAAGAATCTCAGAGGTTTTTTTTTTCTTCCTTGATGAAGAGGAAGGGCAGAGATTGGCCAAAATCTTGTTAAATGCAAAGAAGGTTGATCTCTGCTGCCCTCTTGCTAATGAGAGTACTTCTTTAGGTTTCTGTAGTACCCCATGGAACTCCATGACCTTCACTAACTCAAGGTCAAGGACCTATGTGATGGGGCCAGCAGCATGGAATTGATCATTTTACCATTTCCAGACAGTTTTCTGATACAGTGTTGTTAGACACCCAATTACTATTTTTTCTTTGTTATGGAAGAGTGCATTTGTTGTTTACTTGTCCATCTTCCATTACACTGAGTATTTAACTTACCAGGAGATGGTTTGGACATGAAGTCAAAGGTGAGCACATTTGGGATTTTCATTGCTAGGAGCTGAAGTATCACACTGGCCAGGTTGCACCTGTGAAGAGTGAGAGTCATCTAGTTGGCCTGAGCCCTCAACAGCATTCACTCAAGAACCTTAGTGAAGCCAGGTGTCGGTGGCTCATGCCTGTAATCCTAGCTGCTCAAGAGGCTGAGATCTGAGGATCGAGGTTCAAAGCCAGCCCGAGCAGGAGAAAGTCCATGAGACTCTTATCTCCAATAAACCAACAGAAAACAGGAAGTGGTGCTATGCTTCAAGTGGTAGAGTGCTTGCCTTGAGCTGAAGAGCACAGGGACAGAGCCCAAGCCCAGAGTTCAAGCCCCACAACTGACCAAAAAAAAAAGAATCTTAGTGAAAGCTAGGACTCTGGGGAAAAATGAGTAAGTAGGAAGAAGAGACACAGAAGAGATGGCAGGCAGGCAGGCACGCACATGCAACCAGAGCCTACCTTTGGATCTCTGGCACAGTCATCTTATCAAACTTCTCGAACTCCTCCTCGGTGTAGAGCCGGTAGCAGACACCACTGTCTTCTCTGCCAGCCCTCCCTGTGCGCTGCCAGGCCTGGGACTTGGACACCCGCTGCACAGCTAACACCTCAAGACCACTGTCTGGGGGAGGGGGGGAGAATGGGCCCCATGAGTGCTCTCATTATACACAGCACTGGAAAAACAAATGGTGCTCAGAACACCAGTGAGTCGTTCTGAAACTTGGGGGATCAGAAAAACTCCAGGCTAACAGAGAAAAGTACAAGACCAGGTTGCTATGCAGTGGTCTGGTTCCACTCTGAAACACAACACTGCAATGAACCCTTGATGGTGATCTGCAACAAAACCATCAGAAAAGCTTTCCGTCAAGGGTCAGAAGAAATTGACTTAGATCAGAGAATGCCAAATACTCCAGTTACCTGGCATTAGAATTCTTTGGACATGGGACTTTTGGTGCTATGACGGGGCTTGTTTCCAGTAAGCAGGAAAGGTTGATCACACTACCAACTAATGAGTACCTCAATCACAGTTCTCTGATAAAAGTGAGGCCACATGACAGGTGTCCTAGAGGTAAGGGACAGTAATTTTCTCAAGGGTAAATACTATGCCAGGGATTGGAGACTTACCCAGTCCTGGGGGACACACATGGGAAAGTTAACCCCTCTGTGCTCGGTAGAATGCTTCAAATAAAAATGGGAGGGGGAGGATAGGCAACCTGGTGCCAGCAGCTTAGATCTGTAATCCTAGATACTCATGAGGTTGAGCTCTGAGGATCACAGTTTGAAGCCAGCCCAGGTAGGATAGTCTGTGACACTCTTAACTACTCAGAAAAAGCCAGAAGGGGCGCTGTGGCTCAAGTGGCAGAACACTAGCCTTGAGCAGAGAGGCTCAGGAACAGAGTCCAGGCCATGAATTTAAGCCCCAGGACTGATTAAATAAATAAATAAATAAAATTGGGGGCAGCTGGAAACCAGTGGCTCACACCTGTAATCCTAGCTACCCAGAAGGCTGAGATCTGAGGATCATAGTTTGAAGCCAGCCCTGAAAGAAAAACCTGAAAGACTCTAGTAAAGACTGAGAAGTGGTTCAAGTGGTAGCTTGGTAGGTGGCCTTGAGCAAAAAAACCAAGCAAGAGCTTAAGGCTCTGAGTTTAAAAGGGGGGGAGAGGGGCGTTTTATTACAGTGGTTTCAAATTCTCTGTAGAATAAAGCAAGGTAGAAGACAGAAATGAGCAAAAATGACTTCAAGCAAGCTTCCCACAGCACACTCACAGAAGAGTCAGTGCTTCTTCCTCTGCTCCTCACCCCAATGGAGGGCAGCTACGTTCTTCCTGGGAAACCTAGGAGCCCAAACAGGTCAACCTCAAAACATCTTTTCTCAGGAGGCTATCAGAGGGGCATCAGGCTGTCTCTAGTCACCTAGCTATCAGACACTGTGCTCAGCTCCCTGCTGTTGTGTTGGCAGGCTTGCTAAACCTGTGCTCTTTCCCATCTTTTCTCACCTTATTGGGTCTCCTTTCCACACTTGATTCCTGGGCTGTCTCACTTATAGTTCCTGCCACTGAAATTTCAGCTGTTCCCAAATATACAATATTCATGTGAGGGGAAACTGTGGAACTACAGTTTCAACAGCTGCTCACTATAGACGGGAGAGACATTGATGAGCTACAAATTCTCACCAGGGTTATACTTCTTTGCTTTAACCATGCCCGTGTCAACTACATATTTTATTCCTGCAATGGTTATGGAGGTTTCTGCGATGTTGGTTGAAATGATCACTTTGCGATAGCCCTAAAAGGAATAAGAAAACCAAAAAGCCATATGACATATATATGATGCAGAAGTTTCAAAACATATTCTCACCATTAATTTATGACCAAAAAAGAGAAAACTTTACTAATGGTGGTCATTAATAGTTGAGTCACTAAACTGGGCAGGGTAGGGAGAGGCGACCCTGCAGTCCTGAAGGTGAATTTAGGCAATGAGATGTGGTTTGGAACAAGCACATGCCCCTTGAGCAATACCCACCTGGGTGGGGGAGGGGACTTAGTATTTATGTGGGATCCCATGAGGATGAGAGTGTCTCACTGTATGGGCACAGCAAAGCACAGACAAATGGTACTATGGACAAATGTGGTTTTATACTGGCCCTAAAAGAGTCACATGTTTACCTTTCTGCCTCTGCCTCTATACTCTTCTCATGCTGACAAATGTTTTCCTGTTCTTCCAGGACTGTCTGCCTGCAGCTATGCATTCTCTATCTCCATTCTCTCCATGAGTGGCACCACTACCTCCCTGGTACTGTGGCACACAGGCCCCACTGATGGGCCCCGACTTAATGCCCAAGAACAGGACTGGACAGAAAAAGAGGTCACTCACCTTTGGGGCCCCTTGGAAGACTCGGAGCTGCTGTGTGTAGGGTAGGGAGGCATAGAGAGGAAGAACCAGCAGTGAGGGGCAGCCATCCGGGAGGTGCTTTGCAATGTCTCGGCAGGTCTTGCTCATTGCTTCGATCTCCTCCTGACCAGTGAGGAACACTAGGATGTCCTGAGAAGAAGGGGCTTCCTATTAAAAAGACAGAAAAGTAAGGGGGGACCAAGATGGCGACGGGGCAGTAGGGAAACGCCACAGCTCTCTCCAACCAAAAAGAGAGTTCGAGTTCCAACGCTTAATCTCCCCAAGAGACCGACAACAACAAAAAGACGAACACTCAGAGAAAAACCAGAGGTGAGAAATAACAAAAAAAGAA